CTGGTAATGTCACCAAACTTGGACAGAAGCTTCCCAAGCTGTGCGCTTGCCTTGGGCTGATTTTGCTGAAGCTCTTGGGAGAGAAAGAGGGGGTAGAAAGAAAGCTTGGCATTTATGAGTGTGAAATAAAGGGGGAAATATGGTGCTTTGCTTGTGGAAAAAATTCTTGCTTTTGTTCCCTTCAGGAAGTCATGCTATGGGGCTGTGACTGCCCAGGGGACATGCCCTGCGGCTGGACCATGCAGTGAACCCATCAGTGGTTGCTTTGTGCTCTAGCACATCAGGATGAGTTTCTGAAGATCCTACCCACAGATCATCCTCTGTCCCTCCGGACCCCAGACCAGACCCTGCGTGGCCACATGTGCCCTGCCCCTCGCTCAGTGGCTGCCCTTCCATCTCCCCTCTCCCACCAAAGGCTCAGCTATTGACAAGCATCCCTCTGCTCCCCACGCATCTTGGGGGGCTTATTTCCAGCAGCTGGCATCCTTTCCAAATCTCCTTCTTACCCATCTGTTGTTACCAAGCCTTCTCTCTCCTTATTTTGCTTAATTTCTATCTTTTTCCTCTTGGTTGTCTTAGACATGCCTGCATCTCTTTGCATATGCCCAAGCATTTGCTTTTGAGTGCCTTAGGCTGGTTCCTGCAGTTATCTTGCAGGAGTGAGAGCTGTTGCTTCTTGCTCTGGGAGAGGGACCATGTTCCCAAGGCATCTATTGAGGAGTGCAGCACTCCTGGAAGTTTCTTCATGGCCTCCCTGAGCAGATTTGTTGTTGTATCTCTTTCTTTCCAGATGACAGTGCTGAAACAGGATCAAGTTGGGTTGGTCTCCTTTCTTCTGCCTCTCTCTGCCTATAGGCAGACCCTGCACCCTGCCATACGAGACTGGCAGGAGCCCTCCATGCTGGGGACGTCTGAAATACAGGCTTCAAGCTGGGGATTTCAGGAAATAAGTTCCACTTTGTTTGGGTAGTTCAGAAAGGTTTTTCTGGAAGAGGCTTAAATCCTATTGGGAAGGGTGGTTGGTGAGACAGCATCAGCTCCTGCAGTGGATCCTGTGCTGCCCTGCTCCCCGCCTGACTGCTCACGCCCCAAGTAACTTGAATGATGCCAGCTCTCCCTATGCTTCTCTGCGATCCAGCTTATCCCACCGCAGGCATCAGCTCCGGCCACATCTCTCACCAGTTTGCCCAGGAGGGTGCAGGGAGCCCGGGATGGCAGCGGGTCCTCCTGCCTGGATTGCATGAGTGCTATCACAGATGGATGTGCTGCTCGGCAGTGAGGATGCTGGTGCATTCTAATTGCTGGCATCTTTACTTGTTATGAGTGTAATTGTGAGTAGACGTTTGTTTTTGTATTGATAATTAGGGACTGGAACAGATGGTGAAGGCTTAGTTTAAAGTAATGTGTCCATTAAAGAAAATCTACTGTATACAGCTGAAGATTCTTCACTCTGAGAGCTCAGCTCTTGGTAGCAGAGTTTGTCTTCTCCCTAATGAGGGCTTCAGCCATTGTAGCCTGGTCAGCTGCCTTCAGTGGAGGTTCAGATCCTGAAGACTTCTCCAAGTGAATGTGTCCAGCTTCCTTCCGAGGAGAGCATCCCCTGGGCATCTGCTCAGCACACGTGTGTGAAAGGAGTTGCTGGAGGAGCAGCACCTTGCCTGCATTTGCCCATTGGGCACTGAGCCTGCCTGCCAGCACAGTGAAGGTGTTAGGATTGCCTGATGCAGGGGGACAGGCAGCACAGGGTTCACCCAGCGTGGCTAACGGTGTTGTGCTAGATGTGGGAGGCACGGGGAGATGATGGTGTTAATACCCAGTGCCAAATAACAAGGACTGGTCCTCACAGCAGGACGAGGCAGGCAAGAGGAGTGTGGGGGGAGAGGTACAAGGTGTCTGTGTGGCTTTTCTGCTGGTTAATGCCACTCAGGTGCTGGCCTGCAGTAATCCCCTTGCTAGCAGGCAAAGGGGTTTTACTTCCTGTCCCTCCTTTGCCTGCTCCCAAGGGCTGGATGCCAGGAGGAAGCGATTTCTGTGTCCCCCCACTGCTAGCAGTATTTTGCAGCCTAGAGATGGAGACATGAGCCTCATCTTGTCCCTCCTTGCTCTGAGAGGAATAGGGGCAAGAGGCAGAGGCATCTGCAACCCCCCCCAGTGCTGAAGGAGGGTGCTCAGCAGCCTTAGCCCTAAGTGGCCTGGCCATAAACGTCCCTTTGGGGTTTCCCCTGGCGTCACAGGGTTACTTGAACCTCCCAGAAAACGAAGTACAAGCCAAAATTTCCTCCAAGAGGAAACAGCAGAGGTCAATGGGAAATTGCTCACCCGAGTCCTTCTGGTGCCAGTACCTCTGCAGTCACAGGGTTTGGGTGAGCTCAGCAGG